TATAGAGTTTAACAATGTGTTGACAGTGCAGTGTTCTGTGCTTCCTCGGCTCCTGTCACATTTTCAGTCTGTGCTCAGGGTAGAATTGACGATCCTCTCATTAATGGACTACCGTTGTTTTGGTGCACGATATACTGTACGATACAGAGATATACGATAAACGCTAGTGTTGAAATATCAAGCATCGCTGTGGAATATTTTGTAATATCTTTGTAATTTCAATCCAATACAGAGTTAAGTATTGTACGGCTACGTTCTGTGTAATTCTGCTTATTTTACTGTTTGTATCAGTGAGTTATATATTATAAACTATCTAATATCCTCTCACTATTGCAAAAAAATAACAAACAATAAATGTTGTCACCTAAAACACACTGATCCATCCATTGTTATTGAGTAATGTAGCCATTGTAATGACGGGGACAGGCCTTCGTGCCACTGTTCCACGGTCAGCTCTGAGATTCTGAGAACAGGCCTCTCCAGGACACAGCAGGGCCCCACAATAGCCTGCTCAGGGGCCCCGGGCCACTTGGTCCACTATGTTTCCTGGGTTAGATTCCATCTCCAGGCTTTTCATGTTCTCCCTGTGTCTGTGGAGGTTTCCTCTGGGGGCTCGGGTTTCCCCCGCCAAAAAAACATGTGTAGTTCATGGTGAATGTTGTGAGTGCGACTGTGGGACAACGGATGCAAATTACCCCAAGTCTACAATCTGGAGCGGTGTGTTGCTTAAAGATATAGGAGGATTTTCCCAAATTTAAGGAAAGAACCACCCTCTCCACTTATTGAAAAAAAACTGGTTTGACGAGCATGTATCACCAGAATGATTGACAATTAGATGGACTAATAGGCAGGCAAGGCAAGTTTATTTGTATAGCACAATTCATACACAAGGCAACTCAAAGTGCTGAACAAAATAAGAAAGCATTAAAATCATAAATAATCACAGAACATTAAAAAGAAAGATAAAGATATAAAATCCCTCAGTTGTATGCACAGCTAAACAAAACTGTTTTTAACCTGGATTAAAACATTGTCAGAGAGGAGGCCTGTCTCACATCTTCAGGAAGATTGTTCCAGATTTTAGCAGCATGAATCTGAAAAGCAGCCTCCCCATGTTTAGTCCTGACTCTGGGCACTAACAGGAGTCCAGTCCCTGTGCTCCTCAGAGTCCGGGCTGGTTCATATCGGACTAACATGTCACTAATATATTTTGGTGGTAGGTCTTGATGGTCCACCCGGGAGTAGAAAAACCTCCTATATCCCTTTAACATGCACCGTCCCAACCAAATAAACAGACAATAAGACAATAATAATGATAATTCTGTTCACAAAATTTTGCCAGATATTTACATCCTGTATAGCTCAATACTTTCTTCCCCAAATGACCTTTTATTATTTAGTCCGTATGTGGTCTGGATTTGATGCTGGATGTGTGTGTGGTCATCCTGGTCCGGCCCTGGCGCCTTCACTGTCCCAAACTCTGACCACTCTGGAGTGTTTAATCCAACACTGCTTCCTTCATGACATTGCGGTTACATTTGAGGTTTCCCAGTGCCTGTAATAAGATTTATGGTTGTCTAATTAAAGAGTCAGAGCGGGAGAAAGCCCGCGGCCTTTGTATCAGATGCAAATAAGTGCAACGAGTCCATGAAGTTCTATAACAATAATAAAAACATAGATAGGATTACATTAGCAAATCTATCTTCATAAAATTGGCAATTATTGGTTTTGTTTTGAATGCACAACTTATTCATTACAGAAGCGAGACGCCGAACACACCGGTGCATCCAAACCCCCAACCAACACCATCATTCACTCACTCATTACATTCAGACCTATTGTAAATGTTTTTAGTAGTAGGGGAAACCAGAGCACCCAGAGGAAACCTAGGCAGACATGGAAAGAACATGCAAACTACACCCAGAAAGGCCTGGAGGAATCGAACCCAGAACGTTCTTGCTGTGGATCCAGGGCTTTAGTTCCAGCCTCAGTCCTGGACCAGGAGCCAGGGCGACCGTTTCACCGGAGCAGGTCACAGGGGCCATCTTGCCTTAACAACCACCATAGCAAAGTGTCTGTTACGCCAGTGGAACAAATGCCCATATAAGGAAATTGGCTTTGGCTAGTTTGTGTCCATATTGACTATACAATATGGTGACGATAGGGCTCTGTCTGTCCACTCCTAATGTCTATGTTCTCTTCACACATCTCCTCCCCATGCTGCTGCTTGTCCGGGTGGTAAACAGTTTTCTTCAATATATCTCCATTGGTTAAACATTCTGCGACTATGTGACTATCCTCACTTCTATTCTCAGTGAAAAACACTCACCCAGGGACAGATTAAAATTCTGAATACATTCGTTTTTAATTATATCTACCGCACCGCATCCATTAACCGCTTCACATACAGAAATACCAGTCTGAATAATAGTCCAAGAGTGAAGTCAATAAAAGCACATTAATCTCTGTTTAATTCCCTGTGCTGGGGGCTGTTAGCGCGACCTCATGCACGCGGGTCATGCAATGAAATATTGAGATTTGTGATGAGGTCATGGTGATGGTTAATTCCTGGAAAGGCGAGATAATCTACACAATATTAATCCTGGAGGACCACAAAGGGAGTATTCAAAGACGTGCACTGCTCGGAGAAGCCCTCACACCACAATCGCTCCGTAAAACCCCCTAAACTTCATGTTATTTACATATAAAGCTGCACTTAGCAAGTTTCCTTAAGTCCAAAAGTTGCAAAAACCCAACTCAAGATATGAAAGGTTGTCTCTGCAGTGATCTGTTTTGACTGGCAGCTGGTGGTCAAAAAGCCTCTAATTGTATTGTAATCTTCCTTCATCAAACACTAATTTGTCTTCTAATGATGATAACTTGCTTCAGTCTGCTGGATAGTGATAAACTCAGTGGTTTTAAAAAAGTATGGATACCCCATGAAATTGGTCACGATTTCTCCTGTTTCAGCCATAACCATGAAGATATTTTATCTGCATTTTGTGAAAAACCAACATAAGTAGCTTGCTAATCTCATGATTCTAGAGTAGCAAGCTACAGTTTAACTTCTGAAAGTAAAGTCTGACTGACACTGCTTTCTGAAAAGTGATGCCATTGTCAAGAAAGACTAAGACTTGTTTACTTACGGTCCTTCGTTCAGTATAGTTACCATTCCCTCTTACTAAACTATTAGCCTTGCTTTCATTTCGAATGCGCCAAAGTGTTTTAGTGTTGTGTTTTTTGTGTTTTAAATGATGCATTTGGCTTTATGAAATGTTAAGTACTCTGCCCAACAATTAGACACAGCTGGTGAATACGTTGAAAAAAAAGGCATCAATTTGAAACGTTTTATGTAGATCACTTACACAAAACATGTCCGACTGTGAATTCTATCGACCGGTAAAGTCATGTGTTTATGGCAGCTTTGGTCGGACAAAAGAAAAACAGACATTTTGAGAACATTTAGACAATTGTCGTAGATTAACCACACAGAGACAGGATCGTGGCGCACCAGAGCTCCTGGAAGTTTATTCGGTTTCCTTCAGGTTTCAGTTGTTTCAGTTTTTTCAGACAGAACAAAGTCGAGCATGGTTTATATAGTCAATGTTACGTCACAGCTACGTCACACACAGAAAGGCGTACGTGTCGCATCCAGAGACAGTCAGAACATATCAGTCATAACATGGATACACAATCGAGTCCTTGTGACTGTGAAGGCCAGATATTTTGCCTTGTGTTTGTCCACCTGCGCATGCCATAGCTATCTATCCACCGTACAACATTCCAAGACTTTTTTAAAGAAAAAAACATTTGTATCATTATAATTTTCAGGTTAAAAGCCGGGGTTCCTAACTTTCAAACCACAATAAATGGTTTCTCACTGTCAAAACAGATCTATAAGTTAAGCTCTGTAATTCTGGCTCTGTGCCATGTTTGGATCAGTTTTTCCATTTATTAAAGCTAGAGCCAATTGTCAAACTATAAAATATAGAATTATGTATGTAATAAAACCAATGCAACTGGATTTTATTTACTCTAAACCTGGTGGTAGAACCGAGCTGTTTTAAAGAGGGTTCATTCTTGGCCTCAAATCTTCAGATCGCTTTATGGACAGAAAAGATAAACGGATCAGAGCCAATCAGCTCTCAGCCTAAAGCGTCAAATCGTGACTCACTCGATATTTCTAACAAGTACACAAAAGATAACTAAAGAACAACAATAGTGGTCTGAGTTGTTCACATTTCACTCTTTAATATTTATTATATTGACTGTTTTTGTTGGGTCAAACAAAATGTAATATTTGTGGGAGCGGGTAAAATGAGGTCCCCCAGGTTTAACACTAGAGCTCACTGAGCAGTTAATGAGTGATTCCTCAGCTCATGTGCATTTTTGGTCATTCTAACTTTGTGACTTTTTCTGTATCTTTATGCCATTTTTTTATTTTTTATTTTTTAGGAAACAATCATTTAGTGTTGTTTTACATTTTGACTGCACTTGGCAAACGACATTTACTACAGTTAACTTTTCTCAAGGTGCTGGTTCTGGAATGGTCCTGGAATAGTTCTGAACTGTTCTTGGACTGCTCCATGGTCCAGACCAATCCCAGCATGCTAGTTACCATAGCGACACGCTGTTTACTTGCAGCAGTTAGCATTTAGCTTTAAATGCTAAGAACTGCAAAGAATACAACCAACAGTTTTTATCGTTTTTCAAGCATTCATTAATTATTAAAGATAAAAAACTGTATACATTAATTTGAAAAAAGTTGTGAAAAAATGAAACTGTTTTCTTCGGTTCTTTGTTTCAGAATTAAATGGGAGCCGTCAAAATGACTGCTCTGGGAGTTTTTGTGGTTTCAGACTTTTGGGAGTCCTTGTGTTATGTCTTCTCTTTTTCTGTCTCCGCAGTGTCTCCTGTGTTCCTATCCACATCTCCCCCACAGCTGACAGCAGTGTGCCCCCTGGTGCTGCCCCCCAGAGGACAGTGTACGTCCTGCACTCATGCCCACCATCCTGCTCCTCCTGGGGGCTCTGCTGCTCCCCTCGCTCCGAGCAGGTGGGACATTAGCCTTTTACAATGTTTTTCAAATCCTCGCTGGAATTTTCTCGAGCCAAATCTTTTCTCTATAACTGCTGCTGATCAAAGAGTTCCAGAGGTTTCCTTGCACTGTTTTAAACCCATTCATCCTCTGATCTTGAGCAAGTGAATGAAACACCAAAACTACAACACAACAATAGAAAAGGAAAAAGAAATAGAAATACATAAAATAATTTGTGTATGAACAAAATAATTATGTAAAACTATTAAATATATATAATACTATATTACTATTATTATTATCATTATTATTAACAATATTTAATTAACAAACTGTTATATGTTTAGTTTGGTTTAGTTTATTACAAGCATACAATGTCAAAGTGTACATCATGTACCACAACAATAACAAACCACAAAAACAGTGATCGTAGGAACACTGTTAGTAGAACAAATTCTACCTTCTACTTTCTTCATTGTTACTTAAAAAAAGTGGGGTGAATTAACAATAATAATAATAATAATGTATGATCATGATAATTCATACATACATACATATCTATGTATGTAAAAACCTGGTAAAAAATGGATTAATTTGCACATGAATCTAACTTTGTCCTGTTGCCTTCCAGCATGTCCAGATATGCAGCCTGGACTACAAACATGGCTGCCAGGGCACAGCGAGCACCACCGCGTCACCATTGGGCGCGGCCAGAAGGTCCTGCTCCGGGCCTCAGCCACCGTCCACTCCCTGGAGATCCAGTCTGGAGGTGAGGCTTCAGCCATCAAACTATAGTATCCTGAATTCTTAATAATAATTTAATAACTATTGTTGTCATACATACACAGTTACAACATACAGATTGAAACTGTGTGTGCATGTGTGTGTGTGCCTGTGTGTGCTCAGTTACTAGCCTCAGAACCTAGTCAGATTGAAACTGTGTGTGTTCCCCGCTTGAAGTCTAAAGCACTATATGCGAGGAAATCTGACCTAGGTGTCAGACACAGTAACTTAATAAAAGTTCAGACAGACAGAAATAGTTCTAACAGTAGGGTTGTTAAATGTGGTTTAATGAACGTCAGATCAATCTCGTCTAAATCGCTTCTCATAAACGAACTTATTATAGACAAGGGCTTGGATCTGTTAGCGCTCTCGGAGACTTGGCTCCAACAGGACGAGTACGTTAGATTGAATGAGTGCACTCCTCCGACGCATGTTAACTACCAGAAAGCCAGAGCTACAGGTCGCGGCGGTGGTGTTGCGATTATATCACACACCAACTTGGTTCTTAGTCCCAAAACCAACAACGCTTTTCACTCGTTTGAAAACTTAACACTTTCAATCACCTGTCCTGGGTGGAGAAAACAAAAAGCAGTACTATTTATAGTTTTATACCGACCTCCTGGTCCTTACAGCGAGTTCCTAACAGAATTCTCTGACTTCATTTCAAACCTAGTTTTGGAATGGGAAAACATAGTTATAGCTGGAGACTTCAATATACATGTGGACGACAGCACTGACAGCTTAAACAAAGCTTTCAGCGCCGTACTAGATGGTGTTGGTTTTACTCAGAATGTCGAGGAACCTACTCACATTCATAACCACACCTTGGACCTTGTCCTGACCTACGGCTGTGATGTCTCCAATGTTGACATCCAGCGTCAAAGCTCGTTGCTGTCTGACCATTTCTTGATCACGTTTGATCTCGCTTTGGAGGACTTTCCTGTCCCGCAAGATAAAACCATAATGAAAAGAACCTTAAATGATAAATCTATCACAAGGTTCAAAGAACTAATACAGCCTATGTTGAATACTGCTGCAGGTGAACCTGTTCACAGCAGCTGCAGTCCCTCAGTCATCGACCAAACGGTGGGCAACACTATGGAGTCTTTAAAATCTGCATTAAATGCAGCAGCTCCTTTAAAACAGAAAACCATTAGGATTAGATCATCGTCGCCCTGGTACAGTGTTCAACTCCACACTTTAAAACAGGACGTCAGAAAATTGGAGAGGCTATATCGCCACTCCCACTCGGAGCCTGTCCACAGGGAGTGGAAAGCAGGTCTCCGAAACTACAAGAAGGCCCTTCGCGGGGCTCGAACTCAATACTATTCAACTTTAATAGAAGCGAATAAAAACAACAGTAGATTTTTGTTTGGTACCGTCGCTAAACTCACAAACTGCCATAGCGCAATCGAGCCTAAAATTCCAAGCTCACTGAGCAGTGTCGACTTTCTCCACTTCTTTAATAATAAAATTACATCCATCCGTGACAAGCTGGAGGAGGTTGCTCCTGCTGTTAGTGGTGGACAGGTTGAAGCGGCATACGTGACTTCCCACTTAGACTCTTCAGTGGGCCTTAATAAATTCATGGCTGTGAGCCAAGCAGAGGTGATCTCTGTGGTCACATCCTCAAAAGCCTCAACTTGCATGTTAGACGCAGTCCCGACATGGCTCTTCAAAGACATACTTCCTTTGATAATTGAGCCTATCGTAAATATAATAAACGCATCCATACAATGTGGCTATGTCCCACAAGCTTTTAAAACCGCGGTAATCAAACCCCTTCTGAAGAAAACAAACCTGGACCCAGAAATACTTACAAACTACAGACCGATCTCGAACCTCACTTTTATATCTAAAATCCTGGAAAAACTTATAGCTGAGCAGCTCCGCTGCCACCTGCAGGAAAATGATATGTTTGAAGTCTTTCAATCAGGATTCAGAGCTCATCATAGCACTGAAACGGCACTAGTCAAAGTCACAAATGACTTACTACTAGCTGCCGATAATGGACAAGTGTCAGTGCTGGTCCTACTGGACCTTAATGCTGCATTTGACACAATAGACCACAGCATTCTACTGCAGAGGCTAGAATGTGATATAGGTCTTAGAGGAACAGCCCTTGGCTGGTTTAAATCCTATTTATCAGATCGATATCACTTCGTCAATGTGAATCAGGACTCGTCGCCTTATTCTGGAGTGGAATTCGGTGTGCCGCAGGGTTCGGTACTCGGACCGATTCTTTTTACTCTCTACATGCTGCCACTGGGAAACATTATTAAAAAGCATGGAATTAATTTCCACTGCTATGCAGATGACACACAGCTTTATCTGTCGATGAAGCCTAATCAGACAGATCAGCTAGAAAAGCTCAGTGCCTGCATAAAGGACCTTAAAATGTGGATGACTCTTAACTTCCTACTTCTCAACCCGGAGAAGACAGAAGTGATCCTACTCGGTCCGAAGCGCCTGCGTGACACCCTCACTAACCAGATGGTTACTCTCGATAATGTCAGTATAATACCCAGTAACACTGTGAGGAATCTTGGAGTCATTTTTGACCAAGAACTCTCCTTCAAGGCTTATATAAGCCAAGCAACTAAAACGGCGTACTTCCACTTACGGAACATCGCTAAAATTAGGAATTTCCTTCCTAAAAGTGACGCGGAAAAACTCATTCACGCGTTTGTCACCTCAAGGCTCGACTACTGTAACGCTTTACTGGCAGCGTGCCCTAAAGCCTCTTTGAAGAGCTTCCAGCTCGTTCAGAATACAGCAGCTAGGATCTTAACAGGTACCAAAAGGAGGGAGCACATAACTCCGGTGTTAAAATCACTCCACTGGCTCCTGTGGAGTACAGAATAAAGTTTAAAATCCTACTCTTAACATATAAAGCCATAAATGGCTTGGCTCCTTCTTATCTCCAAGACACGTTAGTGTCGTATCAACCAAGTCGAGCGTTGCGCTCACAAAACGCCAGACGTCTGGTGGTCCCTAAGGTCTCAAAGGTCACTGTTGGTGGCAGAGCATTTAGCTACCAAGCTCCTTTACTGTGGAATCAGCTTCCCATTTATGTTAAGGAAGCAGATACGGTCTCCACATTCAAGGCCAGGCTTAAAGCACTTTACTTTAATTTAGCATATAATTAGGTAATATATAATATGTAGTGTATATATTATATATATATGCTGTATTATGTTATATATTATTCAATAATGTATTGTGTTATGTTGTATATTATGTTATATATTATGCTGTATGTTATTCTTTATTCAAGGCTAGGTTTAAAACAGTCCTCTTTAGTTTAGCATATGGCTAGGAAGGTAAGACTCGGAGAAGGTTAAACTCCTCAGAGTGTTAGTCAAGCTGCATAGGGAGTCAGTTTGCTGGGAGAAGTATGGTAACTTGAGCACTATCCTCTCCTCCTTCCTACTTTATCTGTTTAGCATTTTTAGGATTCTGACTGTAGTTTGTTCATTGCTATTCACCCGTTGTCCCATTGTCTGTTTCATGGTACGATGACGGGATCTCTGAGCCTGGCCTCTTCCATCTACACCTGCGGACTGCCCCGCCCGACCCGCCTGGGAGTGCTTCGGTCCTGCACCGGACCTGTCCACGTTCAGCGTCCACTGGTCCACGTTCTGTAGCTAGCTTAGGTCCTAGATCATTAGCCTGTCCGTCCGGAGGAGCGGATCCCTTTCTCATATGGGTCTCCCTCCCTGTGGGTTTCCCTAGTTCTCCTCCAAGGTTTCTCACTTTTTCCCACTGGGTTTTTTAAGAGTTTTTCCTTGTCGATGCAGGAGGGTCTTGTTGGACAGTTAGTGTCCAACAGAAAGGATTGGTGATGATCAGGACACTTTAGCATTCTACAACATGTATGGACATTTTCTTCTGTGTGTGCTTTATACTGTATTCTTCATGTGTTTTAACTGTTGATTCTCTGACCTGTGTTGGTGATTTCAATGGTTTTGTTAAGTCCTCTGAGATGACTTCTGTTGTGACCTAGGGCTATACAAGAATAAATTGTATTGTATTGTATTGTATTGTATACTTGCATTCGAAAGCCAGATCCCATCAGACCCATCAGCTATGCAGGGTAGGACTTAAGGTGCTTTCACACCGCCGACGCTGGAACGCTGACGCCTCACGCACCAGACGCACATTTTCTAGTTTTCAGACGCAGGGGTCTTCAGACCAGAAGTGGCGGAAGTAGCGGGCGGGCTTTGATGCTAACGGCGTTAAGCTAGCGGCTTTCTGTGTAAAGTTCTTCTCCAATAATGCAGCTTTGCAGCATCTCTGTGTCCAGAGACCTTCCAGAGACTTTATATAACAGTAGTATGTGTTCACCGAGGTGCGCCATAAGTTTATTTTATTATTAAACGGTACTTCCGCATCGGCGAACACACTCGAAGCAGTTGCATAAAGTCACGGGAGCATGAAAACTCACATGTTCACAAGCACTATGTCCCCCATTGTCAACCCTGGTTTAGTCCTGATGTAGCTCCTGTTTTGGCTGTTTACAGTATGTTCTGTCTGCTCGCTCAGACCGCTAATGTCAACGTGACCACTTTGCGGCGCTCTGATTGGTCGCTGCACGAGCGTCCTGAGGAAACGCTCAGCAAAATGTATCTCCTGAGTGCGTTGATTTTTTGCTCCTGCACCTCCCCTGCGCCTTTGCCGTGCAGTCCGTGTGTCTACCGCATAGACCGTATATATTAACGGACGTAGTCACGCCTATCTCCGCCGTTCTAACTAATGGGCCAAAAATTGTGCTCTATTGGAGCAATCCAAAATGGCCGCGAGTGGTCTCGCCCACAAGAAAATTGTGAAAAAACGCATCTGCGCATGCGTCAGCCGGCGAGAGTCCTATTCACTTGAACGAGGGCCTTCAAAAATTCACAGCAACTAAACTAGACTGGTCCAAAAAAATTCACCCCCCTCAGCATTGACACACATGTGGAACGGAGCTTTGGGCCAAGAGCCAACTTTTGAACCATCCTGTAAAGACATTTTCGAGAGGTCACCTAATTATGTTAGCATTGGCTAATTTTACTTCTGGGTCCACCCCCATCAGCCCGGGGTGGTATTGCAAGCATGACAGCGCATGTCATTTTGGCCACTTTTGAGCCGGGACCCGCCCCCACTGGTCTACCGCGCAGTCCATGCGTGCGTCCCGAGACGCACATATGCGGTTCGACACTCGAACGCTCGTCACCGTTGACTTTGCATTGAAAGTCGACACAACGCATGATCCGGTGTGAAAGCAGCATTAGTTAGTACGGTGATGGTAGACCTCTGGGAACACTAGGTGCCACAGAGGGGCGCTATATATGTTCTAACACATATTATTATTATTCCAGTTTTGTCTTTTTCAGTCCAGCCATGAAACTATAGTATCCTGGATTTTGTTACAGGTTATGATAAAATCTATTCGTATCATTGTGTATGTTGGAAGTGAATCTTTAGGAAGGTGTTAGAAGAAAATGTGTGATTTCAATACAAACTTTATTTTGTTTTTAACTTTTAAATTTATTTGTAGAGCACCTTTCCAACAAAAGGCAACACAAAGCGCCTCACAACCCATATCACATCAAGCAAAAATCATAAACATTAAAACCTACAGAAACATATGAAAGTATGATTTGAAAATATGATTACAAACAAACATTATTATCTTACATGCAGTATCAGTCGCTCACAATGGCTTCAGCCGTTGTACCATTTCTAGCTTATTTTCTGATACCCCTTTATCATTTGCCCTTATAAGTTATGTACAAATATCCGAACATTCTTTAAATTCAAATCAAATTGAGATTTTGATGCATGTATGAATTATCTTGCAGGAGAGGATCTCACATTTGCAATTCTTTGGCAAAGATTCAACCAATTATTCCTTAAAATATGCTCGGCGTACGGAAATGTTGTGCATGCGCTTCTCATTGGGTATCATTTCCTCTCTCTACTAAATACAAACAAGAAGAAAACAAGTCGAGGATACAGTGACGACATAGGCCCAAGATTAAACTATGCAAGGACCAGGGGTACCTCACTTTTACCTTTTACACCAGGACTAAAGACTGGCTGGAATAATAATATGCTTTAGACCAACAAGTTTATTGGTCTAAAGCATCTTAGTTTTAAAAAAAAAGGGGCAGGTAAAAGTGAGGTACCCCAGCTTTAAGTCTATACCCATTGGAAGTAAAAAATAAGCGTCTCTTAAACATACATGAACCCAGATAAAGGCAAAGCAAGGCAAGTTTATTTGTATAGAGGATATGCATTGACGTCGCTTATTACCCATGATTCATAGCGACTGATAGTTGTTCCGCCACATTGGACTGCAGAAAAACTGTCAGCTGTATACACACACAGTCTAGAACGCGCTATATCATGTCTGAATTTCAGCCCCATGTGAGGACATCATTTATATTGAAAAAATGTTACATAAACTTGTACGGAAACATTCATATTCATTAAATATCAAAACTCAATTGTCAATTGTAATCCTATATGACTACAACAGTTACAAGGAAAATCATTGTGACTATGTAAAATCTGTATAGAAAAGAATATCAAAAATTAAGTATAAGAATAAATCAATATCAATACAAACATGCAAAACAAGTAATCACAGGAATCGCAAAGTTGTCAGATCGTTTTTGGGCAGGCAGTACAAATAGCACAAGCAACAAAAACTGCTTTATTGAGAGTTGTTAACGACAAGTCCTCAGATGATTGTAGTGTCCGAATTGGAATGACACCTCCGAGCGTTGTGTATTTCTGCCACAACTGTCCAATCAGACGCTCAACGTGAATCCTCAGCGATGCAATTTGACTCGTCCAACAGCGTCATGTTGAGACTTTCCTCGTGTAAAACCAGGAATGTGTTTTCATTTGGTTTCCAATCCTTGCTTTGTATCGCAGCCTGCCAACGTGCACGTCTCTCCGGATCTTTAGGGATTCTGTAGAAATGTATGTCCTGTGTAGCCTCGTGACCATGAGTGCATGATATAGCACAACACGGTTTACACATTTCAACGACTCAGCGGTGAAATTAGCGAGGAATTATAACACAGTTTCAAGCGTTCACTAGTGTTTGTATGACAGCTGTCAGCTTTCTGCAGGCACTAATACCAGTCGCTATGAATTGTGGGTAGTGTGACATCACCTGCACGTTGTCTATAGCACAATTCATACACAAGGCAACTCAAAGTGCTGAACAAAACAAGATCGAGACAAGACAAGGCATTAGAATCATAAATAATCACACTACCTTAAAACGAATTAAGATGAAATCCCTCAGTTGAAGCACAGCTAAACAGCTAAAACTGTTTCTAAATTGGATTTGAACATTGTCAGAGAAGAGATCACATTTTCTGGAAGACTGTTCCAGGTTTTAGCTACATAATTCTGAATTGCTGCCTCCCCGTGTTTAGTTCTGCCTCTGGGCCCAGCAGGAGGCCAGTCCCTGTGCTTCTCAGATTTTGAGTTGGTTCATATGAAACTAACATGTTGCATATGTATTTTGGTAATAAAGCTATAAACCAGACTAAAACAAGTCCAGGATACAGTGGCTACAAAAGCCCGCGACTTAACTATACAAGGACCAGGTCTAGACCAGGACAAGGAGCAGGTCTAGACCAGGACTAACGTCTGTTGTGTGCAGGGATGCTGGTGATCGCAGACTCTCACCGGCCGCTGCTGCTGAGGACCAGACACATCCTGATCGGGGACGGAGGCCAGATGCACGTGGGCAGCACTGACTGTCCTTATAGAGGAAACCTGACCATCTCCCTCTATGGAAGGTGTGTGTGTGTGTGTGTGTGTGTGTGCGTCTGTATGTGTCTGTGTGTGTGCGTCTGTATGTGTCCATGTGTGTCTGTGTGTGTGTGTGTGTGTGTGTGCGTCTGTATGTGTCTGTGTGCGTTTGTGCATGTGCTTTTGAAATTGTTGGATAGGACTGGACTTTGGTGCTTTCAAACGTTCTTTTCTTTTTTTTCTTTTTATTTTTTCCAGTTTTGTACCTAAACAAAGAACAAATACACACCCACAACTCCACTCAACACGCTACTCCTTTTGGACAATAAACCGTAAAATTATGCTTTTCATGAGGCCACACGTTTTATTCAAGTTATTCTGATACAGTTTATATATTAAGTGTTAAAAATTCTGTCTTGTAAAAGTCATTTTAACTAGTATCCTTTCTTGCTCAAAATTACATCTAGTTTGGATACAGTTTTAGAACCGATTCATACCAGATTTTTTATAATATCCTCATCTTTCGTCAAATCAGTCATTTCTATTGGCTGCTGTTTCTGATTTGATTTCTTACCTTGTCAGATCTGATGACCCAGACGCGGAGCACAGTTACTTTGGTCAGAAGTACATCGGCGTGGGGACGGGGGCCACGCTGGAGATCCATGGGGCCCCCAAACTCTCCTGGACCTTCCTGAACAAGACCCTGGTGCCGGGTCAGAGCAGCAGCAACCAGACCTACTCCTTCCAGAGGGGCTGGGGCCACAGGGGCCTCATCGTGCACCTGCTGAGCCCCCGCAGCGGACAGGTCCTCCGGGACGACAGGTCAGACCCAGTTTAAGATTAAGATTAAGATTAAGAGATTCTTTATTTGTCCCACAGTGGGGAAATTTCAGTGTTGCATCACAAGTTACAGACAATAGTAGTAGTAGTAGTAGTAATAGTAGCACACAGCATGAGATAAATTAATAATAATTCTATACTAAAATAAACTAAAATCTCTAGCATGAAAAGAAGAAGTATAAAACCTCTATCTTTAGCAAAATAAGGAAAGAAGTGTGAAACCTCCAACGTTAGCATAAAAAGGAGCAAGTATTAAATGTGGTTCAAGAAAATAGTAGGACTCCCAGAATTATGAAAGTAAGTATGTAATGTTTTTTTTTCAGATAGAGTTGATTTCAGATATTTTTTCATTCTCGTTGTGTGCTTTATCTCTCTCACTCCCCATAGAGAGTTTGCATGTTCTCCCCGTGTCTGCTCCGGTTTCCTCCGGGTGCACCAATTTCCCCTACCACTAAAAACATGTGTCTGGCATGTGCCTCCTGTGGACGACCTTGCTCCTATCTCTGGAGAGTGTGAGGGTAAATGCACACAACAATTGTAGCGCTTTGTGACTCTAGTCTGTGAATGTGCTTGTGACGGAGTCATTGCTCTCCCCCTGTCACTAATGCTCTGGTTGTGCGCGCACTCTGGCCATACTCCCCGGTGCGAGACCCGCGCTCCCGCGCATTGTTTTACACACCACGATTAAGCATGTGGTACTCACCGGTCTCGCTACGTAATCGCAGGTCTCCACACATCCCCTTGTTTCTCCCCTTGATAAACCACACGGTAGCAGCATCCATGGCTCGCTGCAGCTCGGGGTGCACACCGGGTTCGCGCGCGCGCCTGTTCATGCTCTCCTCCTTCCGCGTACGTAGTACCAGGTGACCGGGCAAACCGAGCGCATCTTTGGCTATGGCCAGTATGGCCAGTATAAATGGCCATCTATGGCCATTTATACTGGGGTTACGTGCGCTTTCACGCTTTGTTTGTTTAATATTCCTTTGTTTAATGATATCTCCCATATCCATGGAAGGGAATTAAAGGGGAGGTATGTTGAAATAATAGTATTGATAATTTGAGAGGAGTTTCAACCAGAAAGGGTTGTTTTGTAAAATTATATTAACTATTTTGTGTAACGCCCATGGGAGGGGCCTGGGGCATAAGAGGGGAGCTGTTTGGGCTGTACAGGGAGTCTTCTGCCTGGTTGCAGAGAGGGCAACCTCCGGCTATTGTGGTATCCTGGCATCCTGAAAGGTTATGTACACAACTTATGTACATTTGTAAATATGTACATATATTGTGTTTTCACATGTTTGTAAATAGCACTGGGGAAATAAACTGGAGAAACAGTTTTTTTTGACTGGCCATTGGTTTTTTGAGAAGTGTTCCCACAACATTTGGTGTCAGAAGAGGGATGGCCAGTCGAAAGTTGGCCCATTTCCCAGGCAAGCGAACTGGACTGCGTTCGCAGAAGACTAAAATGTCCCTTCCAAAAGAGGAAGATGTTAACCTGTCTTGGGATACAGACGAGGAGGATTGTAGTCCTGGTCCCTCTACTCGAGGCCAGCCAGTGCCCGCAGGAGTGGGTGAGGAACTATTGGACGTTATGCGCAGCTTCCTACAAGGTCAACAGAGGAGGGAGGAAACCATGATGGCCGAACTCCAAGGGCTGAGGTCTTCACTGTCTGAGCGCAGACCGGAGCCTCCCTCTGCATCATCTTCAACTTGGACCGCCGTTAGCCCTCGGATAGACCTTCCTACCCCAGCACCAAGGCAGCGGCCACCCAGTTTTTCTCCAACGGACCGGAGGCCAAGTGGGGATGGCGGCCAGTCACGGCGCCAAGACGCTCGATCCTACGGGGACCCCAAGATCCCTCCCTATCAATCCGGTGAGGATATTGAGAATTATTTACTACGTTTTGAGCGCATTGCAAGGACTTGGGCCTGGCCAGAAGATGAGTGGGCGTGTCGGCTGGTGCCATTGTTATCCGGAAAGGCATTGGAGGCCTACTCGGCAATGGATGAGGACAGTGCACACTCCTATCCGGATCTAAAGGAGGCACTCCTCGCAAAGTTTGACATTTCACCCGAAACGTACCGCCGGCAATTCAGATCCACCACTGTTCCGCCTGGTGAAAATCCGGCAGAAACGTACCACCAGCTAAAGGGTCTGTATCGTCGTTGGATGCGACCGGAGGAGCACACCAAGGAGGAGATTGGAGACGCCATCATCCTGGAGCAGTTTCTACGCGTCCTCCCAGGCGATATCCGAACCTGGGTGATGGAGCATGAGCCGAAGGAGGGGCTAGCGGCTGCCAAACTGACCCAGCAGTACATCAACGCCAGGAAAGGAGCACGTCAACCAACTCCACCACCAAGGTTTCCACGCCGCGAGGGTCCAACGGTGACGGCAGGTAACCCGAGTCCGGCCGGCATACATCAAGGAACTGGTAAGGAGCTGATTTGTTTTTATTGCCAGCAGCTGGGCCATAAAGCGTCTTTATGTCCCATTCGTAAGGCTAAGTTGTCTGGGGCATGCTATGTTCCACGGTCTGAGAAACAGAATGCGACAGTGGTAAAGCTTTGGGCGGCAGTAGCTCAGTTGGTAGAGCGTTGGCCTTTGAGCCAGAAGGTCGTGGGTTCAAGCCCCGCTCAAGACTTTCAAGACATCGACTCCCACTGACTACTGTCGTTGTGTCCTTGGCAAGACACTTAACCTCTGGGAACACCAGCCACAGTGGGGCGGCTGCGGCTGTAAAGTGCCAAACTGCCGTTGTGTCCTTAGGCAAGACACTTCACCCCCATTGCCTAGAATGAGTCTGGTGTGTGAATGGTTGGTGGTGGTCAGAGGGGCCGATGGCACATACTGGTTGCCTCGCTTCTGTCAGTGTGCCCCAGGGCAGCTGTGGCTACATTAGTAGTTTATCACCACCGTGTATGGAGTGAATGAATAATGACACATGTGAAGCGTCTTTGAGTCTCTAAAAAAGCGCTATATGTCTCTATGTCTCTAGTCCGTGAAGAGTTTGTTCCTGTTAATGCTTCGGAATATGGCAAGTGTGAGGACATTATTTGTGTTCATCGGGACAAGCACCCTTACCCTACTGCGGAGCTAACAGTAGCAATTGATGGAGAGACTTACTTATTGACAGTCGGAGTTGTGGCCAGTCTCCCCGTTCCGGCCCTACTAGGCTGTGACTTGCCCATTCTTCTGGACTTATTGATGGACAATGATAACACAACCAGTGTCAAAAAGACTTTGTCATGCACTGTGGTCACGAGGGCCCAGGCTCAAACAAAAGCACAATCACCCACTGGCCTTGACCATGGTCTGCAGGTGGTTGATGCGCTAAAGCCACAGAACCAGTGCTCAGATGCTCAGCCTTTTGCTAGTTTTGAGGACAGTGTTTTTGAGGGAGGTACAAAGGGGCCTAAAAAGTCAAGGCGTCAGCGTCGGTTTGAAAAGCGGCTGGTAGCTAAGCAGCCAGAAAAGGACACTGTGCACAAGGACTTATGGGAAATACCGGGTAACATTTCTGATCTGCAAAAAGATGACTGTACTCTTAAATCTGTGTTTGCTAAAGTAGGAAAGCTACCGGTGTGTGACATTAAAGCAGGCTTTGTTAGTGATAATGATGTTTTGTACAATCTTGAGAATGGGGTAAAACGTTTGGTTGTACCGCAAATCTGTCGGCCTGTTGTGATGCACCTTGGTCATACATTGCCGTGGGCCGGTCATCTGGGACGAAACAAAACTTATCTGCGCATCAGCTCTCGGCTCTTTTGGCCTTTTATGTATACAGACGTACAGAAGTTCTGTTCCACCTGTCCCGTTTGTCAAAAAAGTTGTTCCGTTCGTAAATGCGACCGTGCGTTCCTTCAACCGCTCCCTGTCATATCCACTCCGTTTCGTCGAGTTGCTATGGACATTGTAGGACCGTTGGTTAAGAGTAGCACGGGGTGTCAGTATATTCTGGTTCTTTCCAACTATCCGACCCGTTTTCCGGAAGCGTTTCCGTTACGTACTATTACTACCCCGGCGGTTCTGCGCGCTCTGGTGCAGTTCTTTTCGAGAGTAGGCCTACCTGATGAGATTTTAACTGACCAGGGAACCAATTTTACATCACGTCTTATGCATCTGTTCCACCAGCAGCTTGGAATCTCTGCCATTAAGACGACGCCCTACCATCCCCAAACAGATGGCCTGGTTGAGCGCTTTAACCAGACGCTTAAAAAGATGTTGCGGAAGTTTGTCGCTGATACGGGCAAGGACTGGGACCGGTGGTTGCCATTTCTGCTCTTCGCCTACCGCGAGGTTCCCCAGGCATCTACAGGCTTTTTGCCATTCGAGCTACTTTATGGCTGGGATGTCCAGGGTCCACTGGATTTACTTCGTAAGGAATGGGAGAGTCCTGCCAAGTCTGCCAGTGACCAGAGTATCGTGTAATATGTGCTGGAGATGAGGGAACGGCTGGTGAAATACCAGGAGGAAGCAACCCACAACCTCACTGAGGCCCAGAGAAGCTAGAAGACCTGGTACGACCAACAGGCAAGGCATCGTGAGTTTCAACCGGGCCAAAGGGTTCTTCTTCTCCTTCCCTCGTCTAATAGCAAGTTGCTGGCCAAGTGGCAAGGGCCCTATACTATCATCCGCAAAATGGGCCCAGTAACGTACGAGGTTCACCATCCGGACAAAAAGAAGACATATCATGTAAACTTTCTCAAGGAATGGAAAGAACGGGAGGGCCCTGTCGCGTCGCTTCTTGTGCAGCATGTCCGAGTACCAGATGGGGAAGAAGAGGACACTGGAGCGAAAGGACTGCCGGAAGCCGCAGAGCCAGTACTGGCTCATCTCACCAGAGTCCAAGCTGTGCAACTACTCCGTGTGTTCGACAACGTCCCCTCTCTGTTCGCTGCCAACCCGGGGAAGACGACTCTGGTGGAGCATGTCATTCGGCTAAAGGAGGGCCGCCCGATCCGACAGAGGGCATACAGAGTTC